CTTAAAGTTGAGTTCTATTAACTCGATCTAAAGCAGCTGGCTAGCTGTTTAGTTAGTAACAGGGTTTATTGCTCCCAAGTGCGTATATACTGATCTCGAATAGTCGGCAGAATCATGCTTTGATATACTTATGTATTCATTCATTCTGATATATAACTGATGCATGTAGATCTCCGCCGAACTATGAAGAGCAAAAGGAAGAAGCAAGAGAGATAGTTGTAGATGATGAATCTACATACCGCCATGGGGACAAAGAGGGATCTGACTAGCTAGAGGCAAGCACCTAGGCACCTGCAAAACCTCGCTGTCTTGCTGCCTGATGCATGTACGTCAATAACTTGTTTCCAGGAGGTATCTCCATCAACGTAGATGCAGACACTAGCAAGACGAGTTGTACATGGGCTTTACAGTTGGCGTCGATATGCTATAAAGGTGGCACTTTGTTCTCGGATTCGGGTAATAGCAATATATTAGAACTGATGAGTACTCCAAATTGGGCGTGTATTTGTGATGAAGCCTCATTTGCCTTGGGCGAACGTATACGAAATATAAAAATCTGGCATCAGAGGACAGGCCCTCACCAAGGCGTCGGATGGAAATACTAGCTTACTGGACACAGGCAAGAAATAAGGAAAGAGAAGGAGTGACTTGTGTTCAACACACAAGTGAGAAGCAAAGGCTCAAAATTTCGGACAGACCAGAAAATGCAGGAAATAGGACACTATACGCCGTGGTGGTAGAAGACTTCACCTATGCTTATCGGACAAATCAGGTCATGAAAGAGGTAGATGTTGAGGAGACGAAGAGTCTCTGGATTGAAGAAGTTAAAGAAGAGGATGGTGTGGTTGTGTCAACATTTAGTCAACCTTAATGGCACTACACAATTCTCACGATTAGCCTATTGCCTACCATATCCAATGGAGCGGTCTTACCCATAAACACGCCGGACAAACGCATAAGCGGCCAAGAAACCAACGGTTCCGGTTAACAGGCCATACACAGCACAGGCGAGGAAGCTGTAACTGAAGAACAGCAGACTTGATACAAACCCGGTGATGTGGAGCTTGAACAGGTAATACCAGATGCAGTAGGCAAAAATCCAAAAAGCGCTGCTGCTGCCGGTGAGGAAGCTCTGCCACCACCAATGATAATTCTAAAGAAGTCAATATGGCAATCCATAATCCAAACCAAGAGAAAGACTTACCTCGGAGCAAAGCTGGCTGTATGTCGCGATCACGGTCACCTCAACGACTGTGACAATCAGCACGGTTGAGACAGCACTCAGGAAGCCGAAGACATAGTAGTAGCCAGACTTGTCCTGCCACAGGTTCTTGAAAAGGAATAACAGTTCAATAAAAAGAACCGCAAATGGAACCACGCCGGTTACCACAGGCCCGAGAGGGTTGCGGAGATACCAGGGCTGGGGTGGGACTTGGCGGGCAATCGCATTCGTCTTCAGAGGGTGCTCCCATGGCGCCGCCCGCACATAGCCAACCCAACTACCAATGTACACCAGCGGAACTTGGATGAGGAGCCAAAGTGCAAGGAGGCCGATCAGAGTGCCGAAAGGAATTGCCGTACTGGATGCTTGAGCCCAAACAAACAAGTTCAGAATCAAGACGAGGCAGAATGCCAGACCAGGGAAGAGCAAAGCGGTCTAGACTCATAAGTTAGCAATAGCAAATGAATAACTGGAGCATAATACCTACGATTAGTGTGTTCTTGCGCCAAGCGGCTCCACCAAAGGTCTTGTAAAGTCTTCCCGAGAAGTAACCGGAGAACAGGCCAGCAAAGACGAATAGGCCCATGCCGACGCTAACAAAGCCACCACGGAAACTTGGGTTCAAAACTCCCAGGCAGCTGAGCAGGAGCAAGCCAGAAGCCATGAATAACAACTGCATTCCTGACCCAACCAAGGGGGCAAGAAGACCACTATACGCGGGGATGCGGAACACATCCCCATGGAGAAGCTTCCAACCACTTGTATCTTCGACAGCGTCTTCGTCCGAGGAGTAGTCCGCATCTCGCTCCACATCCGCGCTATCGTCTAGAAGCCCCTCGGCTTTCTTCTCACTAAGCCTCGCACTCCGGCGTCGAGATTGGCTCTTTATCTTCCGATCGTCCATAGCACCATCCCCGCGACCCTTGAGGTCGCCTTGCACTGTGCGGCTCCAGATAACGAGCACGGTCACTCCCAGGACGGTGCAAATTGTCAACGAGTTGATGATCGCCAGCCAGTGGGTTATTGAACTTTCGCCTTGGTTGGTAAAGTATAAATCCCAGCGGTTGGCCCACTCAACGTTGGTGTCCTCTCGGAAGTAGACAGAGTACGTGTAGGGGACCTTCAGTGTGGCTCCATCATCATCGTCATCGTCATCTGGGATATATGACAGTCCGGAGTACTTTTCTTGCATTCGCGAGAGGTTGGGCGGAATATACAAGCCCAGTCCATCGTTGTTATTGTGGACAGCTTTGGGGCATCCATTTTCCTGGCGGTTCCCGGCGGTAATACTTTTGGGGTACACCTCAAACCCAACAACCACCTTCCCTCCTTCCGGTGCGCTCCGCCAGCGGATAACAATCGTGAAATGGTTGTTGATGAAGTACCGATGTTGTCCGGTGATTGGAGAGATATCTCGATAGCCGAGCTTGAATCCGGAAGCGTAATACTTGCGGCTTCGATCCACTGTCACAAAGCTTGTGGCTCCTGGCAGATTATCGGCAATCCATTCGATCACATATCCCTCCTTGACAAGCTGACGAGCCCATTTCACATTTGACCGACTAACATCGCGGGTGCAGAGTGACTGGCACTCCACGTCCTTCCCCATCGCGACTTCAAAGTCGGAGGTCATGATTCGGTCGCCACGCAGTACCTCTCCAATATTGAGCGAGATACTTTGGCCGGACCCAAACGGGGAGCCGCCATGTTTTTTGCCGCTCGGGGGGCAGACGAAAGGCAGGTCGAAATAGGCATACTGCAACTGGGTGTGGTCGGAGAAAATCTTGTTCACGAGAAGAGGAATCGGATCATTGTCGTTATACCGGGTAACTGAGTATCCTAGTGAGAGGGATGGGTGTGAGTGTCATATGCTTTGTCCAACCAAAGTACGCGGTGCTTACCAGGGATGTAGAATGCGCCGGCATAGGACATGAGTAGCAGCACCCACAGCGCCCACTGACGGGAACAGAATTGACCAAAGGCCATGTTAAACAGAGGTAAAGAGATCTGTCCTTGGCCCGGAGTAAATGGGTAACTATCGAACCAGCATGTACACAAAGTATGGAGGGTCGCACGTCGGTGGGTTACGGTGTGTCGATCAGCGAAAGTTAGATCAAAACGAGTGAGCCAAGGATAAATATGGTAGAGGGAGTATCTCGTTAAAACGATCCTTTATCGAGATGATCGGGCAGTCCGATAGTAGACTTGATCTTGGAAGCGTGTGTTGGACAGTAGATTGCTAAGGGTTATCGGATTGCTTCAGCTCGCCAGTAACCTGCCGAGTAGCAGGTAAGTAACGAATGAAACCGGCACTAAATGCCACAGCAGTGCTATAAGTGTGTCGAGAAAGGAGGTTGAGTAACTGTGCACAGGGGAGCTTGTCATAATAGTGAGCTTCGTCCTCCTGCTCCAGCGTGTCCCCGGATTACCTAATCAGAATGCCAACGGACGCGCACCTCCCCGGAGTCTCATGTATGCACACCTTAATAAAATCGACTATACTATTTTGTAAGTCTTGATAGTTCAGAAAAATCTACGCTTCTAGAGTGATTCATGTCGAATACAATGGTGATATACTGGGCCTCGCGACTTCCGATGGGGCTTTTAGAAACTTGAAAATGAGACGACCTGAAAGCCCACGATGATGTATATAATCACCATCCTTTTTAGACATTTTTAGGTTGGAGCGGATCTCGAGTGAACTTAACACGTTATCAACACCATCGAGCCGGCATCTAGCATATCTCGTTCTAGCCACAAGGAAGCTGTAGCCACCGTTCCACTTCGGAATAAGGAAAATAGCGTCGACCATACCGCTTGAGTCGGGGATTGAGACACGAAGTATAGTAGATCAGGAAATTTAGAGTCTTGACGTAGTGGGATATGTTATGATCAGAAAGGGTTGGCTTTCACAAGCGGTATGTGCCTACAACTACATATTTATATTTCCTGCTATTGAATAGGTATCCACTCGTCCCGCTAGCGCAGGCTTCGGTAATCTTAGGTTCTGTGCAACTTCCCTGGCAGTTCTCCGACGTATTTCTACATTTCCGTTCTTATAAGAAAATGACATCCAAAACATCTAATCTATCCCTGGCCTCTGTGGAAAGCTAGCCACACGATGAGCTACCTGTAACCTATTTCACCCCTCATGTTGGTAACGGACTCCTACCCCAATAACCCCGTTGTCAAATACCTCGTGGCACCTTTTGCCAAATATCTTTTTAAGCAATATGTTGTACATGCCTACCATGGTGATGATTGATGGATTTAGTTTGTAGAACTATTTTTTAGTAACCCCATCTTTTCTCTTTGGCTCTCTCACGGTTTGTGGCCATTGGAACTCTGAGGAGGTTTGCGACCGGAGATTTCACTACATGGCATTTGCAATTGAGGGATACTTGGGTTGGCGAGCTACGCCCGTTACCTTCGGCGAAGGCTTGAAAAGGAGTGGTTGTCGCCAAAGGCTTGACTTGGGTGGTCTGATATCTGGTTACACGCCACAGGAGTCGAAAAATTACCACCGTACTTTGGCCCCCAAATTATTTTCGCACCACAAAGCATGCTTAAAAATATATCGCGAAAGGCCTCGAATCTTCAATGCCCGAACTGGAACCCGCTAGATTACACTCGCCAAGGGCATGCGAATCCAATCATATCACGTATATTAACTACGCTAACCCCACAGCCCTAGAGTCCACCTAAGCACGGGTGCCCTCAACTCCAATTTCTCATCAATTGACATCCAAATCCCTGGCTTTTTACTACGAAACCAGTCATGGCTGACCGTCAAAAGGGGAGATATACCAATGGCTCTGGTAGAACCTGTCAAAACTGCGCGAGGGCCAAAATCCGATGCATTCGTTCTGAGGCTACAGGGAGTTGCGACCGGTGGGTTAATTGGAGAGATCGTCGATGCTCAATGTCTGACTGGCTGATAGATGCGGCCGCTTGGGGAAATCCTGTCACTTTCGGGAGGGTGGAAATGTAAAGCCTACAAGTCAACCAGATACTAGAGACAGGTGAAATGTATCCTTCTAGTTCGTCTCACGTTGTATACTAACTACGCCAAAGAAGGATGGAGACCCTGGAAGCCAAAGTGGATCAGCTCCTAGCCCAATCAGGGGTGCCAATTCCGGTACTATATTGTTTCCACGTGCTTTATTGACCTTGCGAATCACTGACGATTCAGACAAACCGGACCATGGCCGAGGTAACTCCGAGTAGTTCCGCACATGGGAGAGATGTCATTGATCAAGGGCTACTTACCATAGGTGCTGCCAATATGCTATTAAATGAATTCCGAGCGACACTCATGCCACACTGCCCGTTCGTGATAATCTCAGCGCAGACGACCGCCGAAACACTGCGAAGAGACAAGCCGTTTCTTCTTCTTACAATCCTCACGGCTGCTTTGCATGACAACATGCCTCTGCAACGTAAACTGGAGAAGCAGGTAAAGAAGGTGATCAGTGACTGCATGATATTTGATAGCCCGGTTTCATTCGAGATCCTTCAGGGACTTTTGGTTCATCTTGCATGGTAGGTCCCGATTTTCTATCTCCACTTCATCTTTGATTAACAAAAAAATCAGGTGCCAGTATCACTCTAGACCGCGTCGGTTTTCCCAATATCTACATCTTGGAATCAGTCTCATCACTGATCTACAACTCGACCGCCCCCCTGAACATCGATTCTGGAGAACTAGAGTGGATTTTAATAGTGAACTGGACAGACAGTCCGTCTCCTGGGGACGGGAAGAAAAAAGAGTTGTTCTCGGATTTTTCTATCTATCATCTTCGCAAGTATCTCCACATCTTCGCACAACGGATGTTTGAGTTAACATCTCTGGTGTCTTCTAGGGTCTCACAGATATTACAAAAGGGATCTTCCTTCCCATACTTGCCATATTTCGAGAGTATCTGCAAGTTATTGGCCGCAGATGTAGAGCATCCGTCAGATAAATATCTCCTCCATATTGTGCAGCTCCAACAACTTTCCGAGAAAATCACCCTGGTTTCATCGCAGCATGTTCCAGAAACCCACAACACCCCATTTAGACTTGAGCATTATTATCGCGAGTTGAAATCTGAACTTGATTTATACAGCGCCAATTTACCATTTCTCTTGTGTGAAAGCCGTTCGTGAACTGAATCGCCCTTGTTGAATATTATTTTACTAACTTTTGAATATAGAGACTCTCTTCATGCAATTTCACACTGTCCAGTTGTATCTATGCCAGGTCACGCTTTTCGACCACAAGCCCGGCGCGCAACCCCCACGTCATGAGCTATCCTTCCAGATTGAAGCGTTGCGCATGGGACTCAGCGCAGCCAAGACCTTACTCCACTTCTACATGTGTCTACCCTTAGGCGACGACGCTAAATTCCACAATGTGGGATGGGTTCAACTTGGGTTCGCAGTCACACTTGCATGTAAGCTAGTGGTAGCAGCATCAGAGCCTTCGATCCATCCCCACACGGTCGATTTGTGTTGTGCGCTGGATATCTCTAACACAATGAAACAATGTATCATTCGTATCCAGGCGCTCATCACGTCATATATGGATGAATCTGGAGACAGGGATGTATTCTTTCACTATGAAAAACGGTTGAAACGTGTCCAATGGTGGTTTGAAAGTCGCATAATATCCGGACCCAGTACTGATCATTCCTATCACGATGTGCAACTGGCGGAAGGGATTGATTCATCCGCCGGAGACGCAAGCCATGGTGTTGATGCTCTGCAGCCAACATTGAACGGTTTAAACAGCCATTTCCAGTGGCTAGACTTCTTCCCAGACACGGCAGTTGACGAGATGTATGTTGACTGGATGGCACACCCAACGACATCATTTGACCAGCAGCGCTTGGGTTAGTCTGCCGGTGGACATGGACTGGTGGCAGCCACATTGACATCATTCGCAATGTCTACATTCACAGAATGAGAAATCCTATATCTCATCTAGACACAAAAATATCACGGTGGCCGTCACAATGAGCAATATCACCACCCTAAACCAACCGATAATGTTTTCACGCAAATCTTCCAATACGCTAACTCGTTACCCCTCGCTACTAGACATTCACAAGACATGAAGAATGAATACCCTATCTATAACACAAGCATCTCACCACTTTTGACCCGGTGTCTTTTCGTATTGACACCGGAATCTGGGGACTGAAGTATACATAATCTAAATTCACTGTGGCATTTGACGACTGAATTAGCGTTCTGGGGTCTGTTCTAAAACCTGGGCCTAGACGTGTAGTTTTTTAGGCGTCCATTTCAAGGCGTCCATATCAGTCTCCATGTCCGTGTCCGTGTCCCTCTCACCTATACACTACTATAAACCAAAAATCCGTGTCCGTGTCCGTGTCCATGTCCGTATCTTGGCGCCACTGATCCCGATCTGCTTCGTCCTCCACTCACAGCCCTCGATGGCGAACCAAGCACTGTTTAGTTGCAAAAGTAATGTCACAGAGGATATTTCCACGTTAGCTCCGCCACAGATCTATCCAAGCTAGCGCTTATCGGTTAGCTTAAAGCAGGCACTGGATCGATGTTTTCAACAGACATGAACGCCTAACTAAGGACAACTATAACCAGTTATTTTTAGAGATATCTAGTTCAAAAATTCAATATGGACTCACAGTTAAATACCCTGCATTGGAGAGCTTCCTAATTCTTCACACAAATCCAATTTCCAGAAACCACCATGAGCAATTCAACAGATCCGTCCGATTACTGCACACTGGCCCTTTGTCCAATAACCGAAGCGCACGTTGAGTATGTGCCTTCACTAGCTGGAAATGCCTTCTACCTGGCTGTTTTTGCGGTCTTGTTGGTAGCCCAGGTGGTGCTGGGCATTCGATATCGGACCTGGGGCTACCTCGGTGGTTTATTTGGTGGCCTCGTACTCGAAATAATCGGATATGCGGGACGATTGCAGATGCATTATAACCCATTCCTCTTCAATCCCTACCTTGAGTACGTCCATTACATCCATATGTGTCTTGATGCCTTCGGGACAATGCTAACAGCCACTGAATAGATATTTGATCTGCCTCACAATAGCTCCCGCATTTATTAGTGCCTCGATCTACATATGTCTCGGACGGATCGTAGTCATCTATGGAGAGAACATTTCGCGCCTTCGTCCTAGGACTTACACTATTGTCTTCATCATCTGTGATCTGGTTTCATTGCTACTACAGGCTTCAGGAGGCGCTGTTACCTCTATCGCCGATGCGGACCAGGCTGATCTTTCTCAAGCTGGTATTAATACCATGATCGCCGGTCTATCAACCCAGGTTGTCTCACTCGCTATATTCATGGCCCTTTGTCTGGACTTTGCATGGGCAGTGCGCAAGCATCAGCACAAACTCAACCCGGAGATATACATGATTGATCTCCGCAATAGCATCAAGTGGAAAGCTTTCCTGGCTGGTGAGTATTTCTTTATCTTCACATATGCCGGAGCGCTCGTTAATCATAAATCCAGGCCTGGCCCTAGCAACGCTTACCATTTTCGTTCGTTCTGTGTTTCGAGTTGCAGAGCTCCAGGGTGGATTCCATAGCTCATTGGCAAACAATGAGGTTGTCTTCATGATCCTGGAGGGAGCTATGCTCACAATCGCGCTTTTGTGTTTGACGACATTTCATCCTGGCATCTGTTTCAATGGCCAATGGAATAATACTAAGTGGTCATTTCGCAAGTCGCATGACTGTGAGATGAGTTTGATTTCGGAGATCTCGGGAGGGCAGACGAAGGCCAGGCAGATTGATTCTGCCTTAAACTGAATGTCGAATGATGTGGTTTGCGGGGGGTTGTCAATGTCTATTCCGTTGTGCGATAGACCGATTTTATTTTTTCGCTTTTCATACCTCGTCCTGTCCTGCAGTCTCAGCTTTTGCTGCCGTTGGATTTATTGTCTTGTTACAAGTGAATTTCTCATGTTTGTACCTTTTGATTTCAATACAATAATATTGATAGAATGTTCATATTATCTGGCTGTCAAGTGTACAGCTTTGGCAAGGATCAAATTAGAAACCTCACTTAGTAAATTTGGGAACAAATTGCCTGGCTTTTCGGATCTTACATCAAAATTTCTGGCCTAACAATGCCCAAATGTGATTTTTGACCAGGCGAAAAGCAAGTCTGTACACGACCCTTCATGTTTGCGAGACAACGGCATCAAAGGGCGACTAGATTTAAGGCCCTTTCGTAAACATGTAACATTTAAGTTTCTTTTACTTGTATGCCGGCGTGATATAATACCAACTGTGTAGGATATGCGGCCATGGGTTTGTAGACTTGTGTGGGATTTAATTATGACAGAAACTTGAATTAGAAATGATCCCATGCCATTCTGAGCTCTGGAATGATGACGAGATATCCAGAAAACTAGCTGAGGATCACACAGAAGACAAGCATGCTAAAGGGGAATGAGAAAGTCATAGGTACCGAGGGAGCATGTCACTACCTCGCGAAATCAGTAGAAATTGAATACATCAGGAAAGTAATCGTAAGGCTGTGCTAGAAAGAAGAAACGCCGCCCAGAAATTATCATGGGTGGCTGAGGAGGTACTCCACCGCTCCTTGAACACTTCCGCCTGCGCGACGCAGGGCTTCAATGTTCCGCTCGAACTCAAAAAATCCCATATCGTTCAACTGCCGCAACTGATCGGCGTATCTGTCCTCCGGGGGGCGGGTGTCTGCAGGCTGCGGTGGGGCGCCGAAACCACCTCCGAAACCACCTAGACCGCCACCACCGAGAAGAGCAGCCAGAGGGTTTGCACCAGCGGCTCCACCTTCTGCACCTTGTCCGCCCATTCCTTGCATCATCTGGGAAAGTAGCGCCGGGTCACGCAGGAACGGATTTTGCTGAGGGTTGAAAGGGTTCGTGCCACCCTGACCAGCTTGTCCAGCGTTTCCAAACATAGCCGGGTTCAGGAGAGATGCGAAAGGGTTCTGAGCCGCTTGAGGAGTTTGTCCCTGAGCAGGAGTTGATCGGTCCGTAGAGTCAGCACCCTGCGCACCGCCGGGCTGAGTGGCGCCCGGGGTGGCAGAAGGCTGGGCTGGGGTTGCGAAAGGGTTGGCTCCGAACAGGGCACCGAAAGGGTTTGCGTTGCCAAGAGGATTCTGGGGCATCTGCCCGAATGGATTTGTTTGCGCATTCTGTTGCTCGGAACCCTGGGTTCCCTCAGCCGTCGTGTTTGTCACCCCCGGGGCAGGGAATGCGTTATCACCGCCACCAAGTCCGCCTCCCATTCCCATAGCTCGTTGCATTTGCATCATCTGCCGAATCGAGCTTGGATCGGTCAACATGCGGCGGAACTCTGGGCTTTCCATCATCTGTCGGACTCCAGGTCCCATGTCGCGAAGCATAGGATTCTGCTGGATCATCATGTCGATCATAGCGGGGTTTTGCAGAGCTTCGTTGATGCTCGATTGGAATTGGGGATTCTCGAGCATGTTGAGCATCGACTCGGTATCTGGCGGGGGTCCCATCTAAATGGCCAAGTGATGTTAGCTATCCGTTGCACACATTATTGAATAACTTCTATCTCCTATAAGAGTTCACTTACCCCACCATCAGGGCCGAAAAGACCCGCCCCAGGAAGTTGTGCAAACCCAGCATATCGTGCACCGGTCAAACCAGCAAGTGGGTTGTTGCCAGTACCCGCGGCGAGATTGGTTGGCACACCGGCTGCCGCCGGGCTTGGGGTTGCGCCAGGAGCCGCGGTGGCTGAGCTAGGCTGAGCAGCTGTGTTCTGGCGCTGCTGGTTGCTCGCAGCACTCTTTACGAGATGAATAGTATGGCCATCCTTGATCTTGTAGGTCTCCAGTGTCTCAGTGTCCTTCAAAACCCTACCCGAGTAGATCAATCGCTGACGCTCTGCGGGGGTATCGGCATTTTCGGGGGTTGAGAGCTTCTGCTTGAGATCTGACACTAGAGTTGTGAGGGGAAGTGTCAGGGTATATTTGGCATCGGTGGATGACTTGACAGTGAAGGTAATGGGAGCCTGATCTGTGGTAGCCGTCTCGTCGGCCATGGCGAAACGATGTATGATGATTGTAGAGCAAGTGGGGTGACGATGGGGAGATGGACCAATGATAAGGGTATATCCCGAGAGGATAAACAGGCTGATCAAACGCCTGGCTAGATGAACTCTTGTGATGTGGATGAAAACCGCGAAAGTGAGATGAAATATGAGATGAGGGGAGTGTGAGGCCGTTATGCGGAGGTGATCTGCCTTGCATCAATCGGCGCGGCGTGGAAGGCGGTCGAATCATAAATCACGTGCCACACGCGCTAGTGGAAGCTCTCCCACACGGCAAGGAATATTTTCTCTTCTTCACCTCTTCGAGTTTGATCACACGGCTACACTTCTCTTCATCCGTGGCAAGTGGACTTGAGGAGTTTCTCTTTTTTAACTCCACCCAGCAGGGATGGGACTGATGTAATATTCATACCCCCTGACTTGCAATTGCATGTACAAAGCTTCCACCTCTTCTGTGTGGTACCGGGAAACCGATACCTAGTCGCCCACCATGGCCACCACATCGCATATGTTTATGTACTCCCTGACGATCCAGCCCCCAACTGCTATCACACAGGCCATCTTGGGTCAATTTGCAGGCACCAGGGACCAGCAGATCGTCACCTCGTCAGGCTCGAAATTGACCATTCATCGGCCTGACCCGGCACAGGGCAAGGTCACACCACTCTTCTCTCAAGATGTTTTCGGCATCATTCGCTCCCTCGCAGCTTTCCGTGTAGCTGGAAGCAACAAAGGTATGTCGCTTTTTTTTTAAATGCACCCCTTGCCTGCCCCTTTACAAGTACAACTTAGTGATTCTCCAAGCTTCCT